TAAACATTTCTATAGAAATTTTAATATTTCTCATATACATTATAATTACAATTTTAATTTTAATCGAGTCATGTAGAGTTCGTTATGCTATTTAAAACACTAACATACAAATTGTTTTCAACCCTTAATATTTAGAACAAGTACAATAGCTATTATGTAAATAGAGTAGGTACTCAGAATTTACTGCTAACTACCCAAAGCTCCAGTGCGGCTCAGTTTGGCAGCATCGCGTGCCACAGTATTGAATATTTCACTACTCACCAAGAGTACAATGACCGGTTTTATTCGCCTGATTTTTGTAGCCTTAGTCACTACGTGCTTATTGTTCCACTACATACACATATTCCCGTTAAATATTTTGTCGTAATTCCAGTTCCAAATGTGGCTACCGGATATGCGCAACATAAAATTTATGAAACACTAGCAGAATAAAATATCTCTATTTTACCCCCTTATAGGATGAATTTCGAAAAATGCTAAAACACGTATTTATTAATTTGTACTAAAGAGTATTAATACCAAGTTTCAAGAATTTCTGATCATAAAGATTTTTTTTGGTTTGTATTATAACGTGTTTTCCCGTGGGAATAAGATAATCTTCCGCAGTAAAATGTAGCCTATGGTACTCTCTAGCCCTTTAACTACCTCCAAACAAAAATTCACGCCAGTCCGTCACTCCGTTTTGCCGTGAAAGATGGACAAACAAAAAAAAACAAACATACTTTCACATTTATAATATTAGTATGGACTAGCAACTCACCGTCGCTTCGCTCAGGTTTGTCGCTAGGTTGCTTCCCCATACAAACTTTCTTCCCTATTTCCAACCCCTTAAGGATTGATTTCCGGGATAAAAACTATCCTATGTCCTTCCCAGAGTCTCAAACTATTTTTTTACCAAATTTCATCTAAATCGGTTCAGTAGTTTCGGAGCTTATTCGGTACAAATAAAAAACAAAAAAAAACCTCTTTATAATATTAGTATATATTATACTATAAGTAGATCATAAGTTCGATAAGAAAACAATCCTACAACAGATTATTATTAAATGTACCTACATGTTTCGTAACAGAAAATCTTATAGGATATTTTCCAAGAAACATTACCTACTTTAAGAAAATTTAGAAATGTCATAGTTCATATATACAAAAAACTTTTCCAAAATGCCATATTAACCACTAATTATATATTCAAACTAGCATTGCCGCGGCTCCGCCCGCGTTCAAATGACAAAAAACCAAATTGTTAGGTTTTACGAGTATATATTAGTATACTCTTACAATGCAGTTTGTGTATTTTTTCTCAGAAATGAGACATTTTCCCGCGGTAAAAAGTATCCTATATGTTGACCCAGTTAACCAGCTATCACCATACCAATTTTCATCAAAATCCTTCCCGTGGTTTTTCTGTGATGAGGTAACAGACAAGCCGATAATAATGTTTGTTTCAATAAGATTTTCCAAAAAATATTTAATGTACAGATTCGGCTTAGTTACAATTTTATTATATATATAGACTAGTGACTTACTCTCGCTTCGCCCGGGTGCGTCCGTTTTAAATATAAATAATTATTGCGAGTGTAACTTAGAAGATAGACTCACGTTTGATATTGCGGACTGTTAAACGTAACAGTTTAGCCAACGTTAGCCATGTCACTACCTAAGGATGACTCGAACCAGTAATTGTGTTTTCCCGTGGAAATGAAAGACTTCCTTGCAGTAAAAGGTTCCCCGCAGTTAATAGTATATGTTGACTCGAGCAATAAGCTATCACTAGACAGTGCTTTTTGCGTGAAACGCACACACATAATCTCTGAATCTACAGAATCGATTTATATAAAATTTGGTAAGGAGATAGTTTTAGACCCTGGGAAGGACATCTATAATATAAAAATGAATCGCTGAATGTGTTGGTAAGCGCAAATCTCGTGAGAAGCTGAACCGATTTCGCTAATTCTTTTTTAGAATATTCCTTGAAGTACGCAGATGGTTCTTACGGAAAGAAAAATTTAAAATTTGCCTGAAAAAATCTAAAAACAACACTTTACTATACTCCCATACAAAAGATTCGTAATAATACTTAAAAGTCAATTTGAACTTTAATACCATATCATAAAGTTTAAGTGTTAGTGGAGAGGTTCCGGGAAGGCAAAACAATTGAGTGACGTTAGTATCGTATAAATATTTGTCAATATTTATACAATGGTAACATTACTCAAAAACAAATCTATACAGATAAATTAAATTGAAGTGTCTGTTTGAAATGTCTAAATAACAGCTTTTTACTAAATGCATATATATGGATGTATACACAATACATATACCAAAACAACATTTTTTACAATTTTCGTCTGTCCGTCTGTCTGTTTGTTCCGGCTAATCTCTTAAATGGCTAAACCGATTTTGACGGGACTTTCACTGGCAAATAGCTGATATAATAAGGAGTAACTTAGGCTACTTTTATTTTAGAAAAAAAATAGGGTCCCCACGAAAAAAAATTAAAACCAATGAAAAATTTAATAATATCCGATTCAAATAGGGAATTTGTATACATACCCTAGGGACGAACCCGAGCGAAGCGAGGGTGAGTCGTTAGTTTTATAATATAAATAAATAAATAAAATAAATATATTGGGGCATTACACACAGCACCATCTAGTTCCATGGTAAGCTACGAGGCTTGTGTTATGGATACCAGATAGTTGTTATATTACACATATATAACTTTAAATGCATTATAAATATTATAAATATATAAACCCATGACTAGAGCACAAATATTCGTCATCAAACAAATGAATGACCCCAGCGAGACTCGAACCCGTGACCGCTGGCACAGCAAGTAGGGTCACTACAAACTGAGGCAAACATGTCGTCATATATAGATACGTAATATCGATTTTGTTTTTATATTATTTTTATATTTTATATATTTTGCCTCTACCCATGTAAATTACCTATTTTGCTCATGTAACTAAATTTTGCGGTCAACAGCTACTACTTACACATTGAGTCCGCATTGTGAATACTACTCAGCCCAAATGAGCACAATTTAGAGTCTATGATAAAAATACAGTAAATTTTATTATACTTATGTAATTAGAAATGCAAATTTAATTTCAAATTTAAATACTATTTATTAATTGGACGCACAAAAATAATTATATATTATAATAAGAATAAGATAATATAAATCTTCATTGTACTCTACGTAATATTTTTATCATTTGGATTCAAAAGTTAACTGTTCATCTGTTCATATATTAAATAAATAATTTGTAAGGATGTATAGATTTATGGATGCTTGTTACTCCTTCACGCAAAAACTACTGAATGGATTTTAATGAGACTTTACAATAATATAGCTCATACGTCAGAATAACACCTAGACTACTTTTTATTCCGGAAAAATGTACGGTTCCCGCGGGATAGATTTGTTTTGTGATTGTGTATTTCTGTGAGCCGCTAATTTAAAATAAATTAGTTCAAGTTGCTTAAAAACGAAATTTTTGTTTGAATTATGTTCCATTTTTATGATTGTGAAGAACGCCTTACGCCACTAAGCAAAGAGCACTTGCTTTATTAATTAGACAGGCACTTAGGGGTTTTAGAATTTTGTATCGGTCACGCATATCTGCTATTATTCTCTCCCTACTTGGTTTGAGTTCTAGATTTCAACGCGTCATAGGTATAAATCAACAATGTCAATGCCAACTATCCAATTTTTAGTTTCAGTGTTTATATTCATAAGTCTTCATATGAAGATGACAAAATATGGTATGACTATGACTAAATAATATGAAAGTTGAGTTCAAAAAATTCATTAATTTTGAATAATAAGAATAGTAATGTAAAGAAGAGGGCTTGTACGCTTATTAGATAATAAGATAGTAATATTCGTACAAAATGTATTGAAAGATTTTGAAATCGTTAACTATTTATGCTAATATATTTAGATATATTTTATAACATTAAGAATTCAGTAAGTGTCTATGGTTTTATTAATAACAGGAAAGATTGCAAAATCTAGAGCAATTTACGATGTGGTATAGGTATATTTAAACAAGTTAATACTTCATAGTAAGTCCCTTAACTACCGTTCATAGAAGTTCAAAAATATTAAAAGACTAGCGACTCATAGCTTGATTTCACATACAAATTTTCATCCCCATTTTCACCCTCTTAAGGGATGATTTCCAGAATAAAAAGTATTCTACGTTCTTCCCCGGGTCTCAAACTATCTTCTTACCAAATTTCATCTAAATCGGTTCAGTAGATCCAGATATTATCCCCTACAACGTCACAAAATCACAAACTCACAAACTTTACCTATTTATAATATTAATATAGATTATATGTTAAAATTTTCATGTTACTTAAGGGAAGTCCAATGATACAATCGACGAGTCAAGATATTGTAAGTTGTATATATTTTCCTATATTATTCAACATACATTTACTGCTTAATAGTACTAAATTAATGAGCTATTCTGGTGGTGAAGTGTGCTACGGCTTTTCTAAGAACTCTATGAACATAAAATAGGTCATGAATCAATGTATGTAGGGTAACAATAGTGGAAGTGATGGTGTAAATTAAATCAATATTTAATATTGCCTGTGACATAGACATAACGACGACCTTCATTTTTGTGTTAGACATAAATGTCAAACCCATCAAATAATAGAAAAGCATCCTTAAAGTATACATATATTAGTAAACTGATCAATACATCTCGTCTATAGGCGAGGACCCCATCGAGGCCCATCCGTCTACTGCCACGAGAGCGAAGCTCCAACTTATTAGCTATATTTCGTAACAGATCCAATCACTAATCCACCCCTTATCTAGCACAATGACACTTAACAAAGCGCTTAATTTCAGGAGCTACAGATAACGAGTCGATCGATAGAGCCGTACACGTTTCGACTCCAAGACACATCGTCACAGTGGAACAGCGAGAAATAATTGATTTTATATGCGTACCGGGCGTATGCGTACTCACGATAGTGGCAGTCTCCGAGTGCGTTACATGGGCTCCAAGGTTCACTGCACCACCGACGTTACTGGTCGTCACGGATGCACCTGAGCGCGGGCACCGTCTCGAACTTGCGTAACATTTATATAACGAGGCACGTACCGTCCGTGATCAGAACAGTTCGGCCGGAGGCGAGCTCGGGGCACTGTTCCGTCCTGCCATTTTGGATTAGATCGGAGCGTCCGAGAGATCGCGGTCGCACCGATGTCGCGCGTCTCTCGCCTCGAGCGTAGAGTTTTCGTTCTTTTCTGTTAAATTCGGGATGTCGCGGAGCTACGTTCGGAGGGAAAATAAAAAAGTGTGTATCGGTCGGGCGGAGCGGTCTGCCGGCTGCGAGTGGCACATGCCGCTCGATACACGGGCGCGTGCGCGAGGGCGGCGCCGCGTGACGTCACCGGCCGCGCCGTCGCGCTGCCGTCGCTCTGCCGCCGTCTTCTCAATGGACTGGCGCTACTGTTCCACCACTTGACGCCCGACACCCGATGCCCGACGCACACCATTATTATTTAACTTACACCGCTACTTTACCATATATGACTAATTAATAGCTCTTCAGATTAGGCATGTGACACATAAAATTCACAAACATTGCAAGCGTATAATTGAAAACATTGGAACAATTGGAAATAGTTTTTATATTTTATTTTAAATAAGATTATGATGATCTGTCGTACGGCAATATATGTATATATTGCTATCGTGTATTTGTTGAAACACAGTGCAGTGGTACAGCATCGTAAAACTCTTTGTACGCAAATGTAGTATATCCTCTTCCAATAAGAGAGCGGAGCTGGAGCGTTACCCCCATTGCTGAACCACTTGACACCACTAGAGTTCACCAACCTATACGGATCGGAGAATTTTCCACTTTCAGTAAAAACGCTGCATCATATCGGTGAACTAATCTCGATTTTAAAAGGGGTTGTCTACGTCAATTTGATATACAAATCGCTTTCAACTTTCCATAAAGTAATATTTTTGGTATACGAGTATAATTATTTCTAGACAAACATTTCGTTGCTAAATTAGCTTTTAATAAAATATATACCTTTTCTGTGTTGTAGCTATTCTTTTTTTCAACATGACATATTTCTTCTTTACTTTTGTCATCTGAAGCAATATTTTCGTCGTTAACACTTTTGACATCATTATCTTCATTTAAAATTACCTGAATAGGCGGTATAATAGAATCCTTTAAGTTAATAGATATAATGCTTACACTGTCGGTTTGCACATAGACGGTTTTAGTTCTTTTTTCTACGCTAGATATGATGTTGGTTGCGTTATTTTGCCTATTATTTGTTAAAGTATTATTATTACAACGGTGATCGCTACTTCTTCTACATATAAAATTTGGTAAAAATTGTCTAAATATATCTGTACATTGTCCATCAATACACGGTAACAATTTCATAAGTAAATGATTTTTTTGTAAATATTATTTTTTAAATGATGCGTTACAAAACTCTGGGCGTTCACTAACGAAAATGGTAAATAGGGACAAAATTTAATTAAATACGAGCTATCACTACATAGAAATCAAATGATAACCAATGATACGTCATTATATGAATTAATTAAATCAGAAAGCTACTTATTTACCAAAGTCAATAGTGATTAATATTGATATCGAAGATTAATAATGCTCACAGATTTTATATTACGTTGGATTGTATATTATATTTATTCGAATATATACTTCAGAATTCATAAGGGTTTCAACGCGTGTGGACTTTAATTAATTTTATTTTTTTATTGTCAAACGTAACACTTTCATTAATTACACAAGCAGGAAAAATGTGGAAAAAGGTACGCTAACTGTGATTAAAATGATACAGTATAGCTAGTATTATCAGTACCTAAGAGACTGAGTATCACTCTTGAGTTTTTGGCCAAAAGTACAATATCCTTTTAAAAAAAAAGACTAAAAACTTGAATAAATACAAAAACAAAACAAAAACAAGTTTGTTCGAACTCGGACACCTTTGATTGTTAATCTTGCGCCTTGGCCGCTTGACTATGATGCTTATGCCTGAGCGTGCGAAATTAGTAAATATATATTACGTGTAAAAATGCGAAAAAAAAACGCATGGAAACTCAAAAACACGCATTTCTCCAGACATAAGACTAATCTAGATCGATTTGTCGCCCTTGAAAACCCCCGCATCATAAATTTCAGCGAAATTGTTAGAGCCGTTTCCGAGATCGCCGGTATATATAAATAAATAAATATATATACAAGAAGTGCTCGTTTAAAGATATTAGATATCCATCGTTCTCGAGTTATGCGCGAATCAACTGTGACAGATTTAAAAACTATTGTAGTACAGTACAGTCACATAATGTAAAAAAGCTATAAACTTGTATATACATACTGCTAGACGTTTTCTACTTTTTACGCTGTATTTCAATAAAGGTGGAATATATGAAAGATTGTTTAAGACCAAAACTTTATAATCTGCAACTTTTGTAATGCCTTCAAATCTAATTTTAGCCAAAGATACGATATTTATAAAATACCGATTTACGTGATCGTTAACCTCATAGAGATAACTTATGATGTAGACACGAGATTATAATATGAGACTTGTCACTTGAGCCAACATATAAAATACCAAACAAAAATATACTTATACAAGCTAATACTATCTTCCACTTCAAGTTTATATCTCTATTTAACTGGACTGTTGAAATAAATTCTATTATTCTAAGCATCACGTCAAAATGTTTAGACTTTAAAGTCTAATTTATATTCAGCCCTTTTTTTAACGTCCCCCTGTTGGACATGGGCTTCCCTTTATAACAAAGAGGACCTGGCCATAGTCCACCTTCACATGCAATTCTTTTCTTCTTGTGGACTTCACATGTGTTTCGAAATCTTGCTAGGTCCTCACTTCTCTCAGACATGCAGGTTTCCTCGAGATGTTTTCCTTCACCGTAAGACAAGTGGTAATCATGTTGAATATTTTATTTTTATTTAGATCCTAAGAGTAATTATTTATTTTATTTTAATTTAATTAGTACCTTTAATATTTTTTTGTAGAGTCAGATCTAAATGAAAATTACTTCTTTACGTGTTTTTTCTTTTTCATTCTAATCTCTGATTTATGTCATTACTAACGACTCAACCTCGCTCCGCTCGGGTTCGTTACGTTTACGTTTAGTATAGATTTCTCAGTGATGAGATATTTTCCCGCAGTAAAAAGTATCCTTTATGTTGACCCGGATAACCAGTTATCATCATACCAAATTTAATCTAAATCTGTCCAGGTTTTCTCGTGCTTTCTCGTGACAGACAGATAGGCAGACAGATAATCGTAAAAGACAGATAGACAGATAGACAGACAGACAGACAAACAGACAGACAAAAGTTCTAAAAACTATAGATTCAACCTCTGTATTGATAATGACAATTTTACGTTGTAGGGGGTAATCTCTAGATCTACTGAACCGATTTAGATGAGGTAAGAAGATAGTTTGAGACCCTGGGAGGAACATAGGATACTTTTTATACAGGAAATCATCCCTTAAGGAGGTAAAAATGGGGATGAAAGTTCGTATGGGGCATCAAGCAAGGGACGAACCCGAGCGAAGCGAGGGTAAGTTATTTAAAAAAAGTAAACCAATTTTTGGTTTGGCCAGTAAAGAAAAACACACATTTTTCTTAAAATTTTATTATTGTTATATTTACAAAGGGATTGCAAAAATGTACATAATAAACAATAAATCAAAAATTTACAAAGATATCAATTATTCTAACATTTATATACAATATACAAAAAACAAGTCAATAGTACGGGAGTTTACGTAGCATATCACGTAGTCATTTTATACCGATTGGAATTTATCGCAATAATAAGTAGTTTTCTTCTGCTATATTGGAACTCTAAACGTCGGCTGTTAAGTAGTGGTGGATCTAAAGGCGACAAAATGTTAAAGTATTAAAAGATAATTTGGTTTTCAGTACTTTATACCATGCCAGTATTAATGAAATGATTTTTTTTAGTTTTTTTTAACTATAAACTATCTAAGAAAAATCATTTTTATTGAAAATTATACCTACGTCAGTTTCAGTTCAAAAATACAGTAAAAATTACACTATAATCGCTGTTCACCACGAGTAGGTACGGTTATTATTCAACAATAAACAACGGTTTAATGTCCAATTTATTTGGTATAAATTTTCTAGAAAGAATGCGACGCTACCTTCCGTACTATATATTATATATTTTTTAAAGATAAAAATGTGTGCGATTATCAACTTTATTGTATAAACCCTGAATACCATTAATATCATTATTTAAATATTGTTATATTTTTTTATTATATTGATAAATCATGATAAGAATCAACAATACGTACAATAATATTTTATTAAAGCTACATTTAAAATTTTCAACGAAATAAAATGTTTAAATAAATATAATATATAAACAAGGTTCGATAAAAAATAACATGAATAATAATATTAAAATCTACTCATTATATTGTCAAAGGAATATAAGAATAAATTGTAATAATTTTATTACAAAATTCAACTTTGTCGTATATATTTCTGAGATAACGTTAGCTTGCCAAATTTCTTCCAGGCCCTGCCAAATGGCCTGCAGGCCTAATATACACGTACAAGACTTAAATTTTTCTGAAGAACACTTATTTTATATATTTAGTATCTATCTACATATCGTCTGTAATTTTAATAATAATTGGTTATAATTTTATGTATTGCAATAATATTTAAAAGTGGAGATTTTCTTAGAATTCAAGAAAAGACGTGTACATAAAGTTATTATAAAACAGTCAACGATTTAATTCGTTATTTAGTTTATGCACAAGTACTTAAAACATTTTATTCCTAAAACACATATTATACAGCGTGTTTACAGTAATGTTTATATAACAGAAGGTAATTTTGAATTTGTTGCAAAACTTAACCATCACGTCAACCGCACGGTGAGCATCTTTTGCGAAATGTCCTGACTCGATTATTATCGACAAGGCTGCGGCAAACGTTACTAATATGTGGGATATGAAATATGTTGCATACTCCTACAAGTGTGTAATTTTATTTTTAAAGCCTTTAAACTAACAAAAATAAAATTAAAATCATAGTAGAAGGTAAAATGTAATTTTTTCATCCATTTTCTGACTACATGAAAATTATGTTGAATTATAAATAATACATAAAGAAAGGTGCCAACCATATTTCATTAGGCTAACCATCTGCGATATATGTACTTGTTAATATTTTTATACTTATTACATTACGACATTTTATATTGATACTAGCGACTCACCCTTGCTCCGCTGGGGTTCCTCCTAGGGTGAACCATCCTAATAACTATGAAAAATACTTTACGTCCTATTCTCAGACCTACTGAATACTGAATACACACAAAATTTCATAAGAATCGGTCAAGCCGTTTCTGAAGAGTTTTGTTACAAACACTGTGAAACGAGAATTTTATATATTAGATATTTATCACAATATTTTTATTGAACTTTAAATTTATTACAGAAAAACGTTTATTAAAGAAACGTAGTTGACAAATTTAATATATTTACATGCGGTTAGCGGATGGATGAAAGACTACTTCAAATCATATACTCGTAGTAACAGTATCTACTATCTAATATAACAAAAAACATCTTTAAAATGTACATAATTTTCATAATTCAAAATTATGCATGTATAAAAATTTATGTTATATCATTATGTAAAAATAGAAAATAATAACTTTAATTGCCTATAATAATAATATTTTCTCTTAAAAAAATACATATTTTAAATGAATATTGCTAAGTACCACACTATAAAATTGTTAGCAAGATAGATATTTTTATTTCGATATTTAACTACAACTCTGAATAATATGTTTTTTAGCACAATATCATATTTTCTGTAACCATTAGTTCCAATACTAGTTATAGAGGAATATTAAACTTGTCTAAAATATATTTACATATCTATTTACAAGTATAATTGAACAATTGCAATTGTAAAGTTAAAATCTTAATCGTTCTAAACTATGTAAAAGGTATCAAAAATATCCGTTTTTACAAATCCTAAGTCAAAGCATTTCATTACATAATTCAATGATTTCAGATATTATTTAAAAAAATAACGCATGTCAACAAAGCATATAACAATATCACAAACATAAAACAGGTAGGTAGTAGTATTTCTTTTAAGATGTACAAATAATTTTTTCTATACATATAATAAAATTGTAACTAAGCCGAATCTGTACATTAAATATTTTTTGGAAAAACTTATTGAAATAGACATTATTATCGATACAGAGACCGAATCTATAGTTTTTAGAATTTCTGTCTGTCTGTCTGTCTGTTACTGCATTACAGAAAAACACTGGAGGGATTTTGATGAAATTTGGTATGATGATAGCTGTTTATCCAGGTCAACATATAGGATACTTTTTACCGCAGGAAAATGTCTCATTTCTAAGAAAAAATACAAAAACTGCAATGTAAGAGTATACTAATATGTAAAATCTAAGAATTTGGTTTTTGGTCTTCTGGTTATAAAATAAGTTTAATAATGATGACGATAACGTATACAATTATTTAGATAGAAACAGTGTCCAAATCGTAATAGAATAAAATAACCAAGTGCCATACAAAATATTCAGTCAATATCCAAACTTTTAAAACTACTGGTGAAGCTAGCGAACATACCTTTACTAGGTTTTTTGATGCGCTTTTTCTCATCTACCTTAAATATTTCCGACTCTATTAGCCAATCTCTGTAATTCATTTGCATATTTTTTCTTTGTTCTTCATGTAATTTACTTGTAGAAGGCTGAGCGCCGCCATAGTCTTCTGGGAGGAGCTCCACGTCTACTACCGAAGCCGGGCCTTCTGATGAGAAGTTAAGGAGATTGAGAAGGTTAGAATGTATGAGAGGCTTCACGAGACACATCACTTGGTTGATAAAAGAGACGGTGTGCACTACATGGATCTTCTTCAGACGGCATGGGTGGGCGTTCTGTAATTAATACAATACAAATGAGTAAGCCTTCAATAATATTAATGTTTTCCATTTCCATACAAAAAATATTGAAAATCTGTCTCAAAGGGTAATTTATTAGGTATATTATGCATAATAGTGACAAAAATAAAATTCCGCTTATTGCAATTAGCTTAATCAGACAAACTAGAATTTTAAAGTAACTTACATTAAAATTCTAGATATATGTATATTATAATACTTATTAAAAATATTAATTGATTTCACCTCAAATATTAATTGAAATGCTAGATACAAACCTGAATATAGTGCATGAACGCTCTTAAAGCAGGCAGTGTGACTCTAGTCAAATGCCCCAAGCTACATCCTTTCATATCGAAAATGACAATGTATCCTTCTGAGAGGCGATCTTCCGACAGTTTGATGTCATTAAACATGCAGAACACGCGCACTGCGTCCGCAAAGTTTAGTTTGCTGTAGTCGGTGTCTGCGAGGCGATAGAGCAAAATATGGTAGCCCTCCGTCGACAGTTTCGGCAAAGCTACCATATGTCTATAAAAAAATATTATTTTAAATATTATTTTTTAATTTCAAAATATAACATAACGATTGTAAAGAAGCTGCTTCACAAGGGAGCTATTGAAGCAAGAAAAGGAATTAATATATCGTCAATCAAAAACAGTTAACATTTTTACAATAAATCTAGTCTACTTAGTAATATATATTTATTTTCATCGTTGTTAATTTCCATTGTATATAACATATTCTATACCTATGCTTTAAGTATTAAAACAAATGTTAATTCGTAATATTAGTATAAATGAAGTGCAGTTTGTTAAAGGTAAAACTTTTATCTATAAAGTTATGACAGACACCTAAAAGGAGAAAATGTAATATTTTTGTTATTACTTACACGTTCATTTAATTTAATATTTTAGGTTTACTTTAACTCTCTACTTTACATTTCAAGGCGTATATTACTTTTTTTTTCTTTTAGACTGCACAATTTCATTTCATGCCATAAACGCATTTATAAAACTTTATTAACATTTTTTATGGTATATAATTTAAAAATATAAGCACCTACCTGTAAAAATTATACAACCAATAAAACCGTAAACAGCCATATTATATGACTTCTTTCAATGAAAAAATCATGGAAAAATTTATTGTTACGCCGAGTTACAACAACAAACAGTTACAAAGAGTTCTCAAGGCTATAATTATATGTTAATGCAGTCACTGAAACTTAAAATAAAATTTTAAACAATAATATGAAAACCTTACGTGATATCAAGTATCGTCTTGTTCTTTGGTAACAGAGGATCGCGGTTGGTAAACAGGTCGGGACTATTGTTTCTTAATGTGAAATAGCATTCTATCGTATCCTTCGTTTCCTTAACTTTGTAATAATTGGAATGTAAAAATAGAAATATATATTCATCCGATATATAGGGCAAATGTGGTTGACTTTTCATCCTGTAATAAAGAAGATAATATCATATTTACAAATGTCCACACATTTACAATGAGAGGTGAATGCTAAGCTTGTGCTATATAAAATACATACATTTTAATTTTTTTTAGCGGAACCCTAATTCTTTTACTGAAATAAAATCTTCTACTCCTACTCCTTATAACATCAACTGCCTGCCAGTGAAAATCCCGTCAAAATCGGCCCAGCTGTTTCGGATCAGCCGGAACAAACAGACAGACAAAGTTTTAAAAATTGTGTTTTTCTTATAAATCTATACATATAATAAAATTGTAACTAAGCCGAATCTGTACATTAAATATTTTTTGGTAAATCTTATTGAAATAAACATTATTATCGATACAGAGGACGAATCTATAGTTTTTAGAATTTTTGTCTGTCTGTTACCGCATCACAGAAAAACCACTGGATAGATTTTGATGAAATTTGGTATGGTGATAGCTGGTTATTCGGGTCAACATATAGGATACTTTTTACGCAGGAAAATGTCTCATTTCTGAGAAAAAATACAAAAACTGCAATGTAAGAGTATACTAATATGTAAAACCTAAGAATTTGGTTTTTGGTCATCTGAACGCGGGCGGAGCCGCGGGCAATGCTAGTACCGTATATAATTCCATATGCGTTTAGTAAAAAGCTGTTATTTTGACATTACAAAACGACACTTCAATTTTATTTATCTGTATAGATAATGTATAATCTTGCCTCATTGAGGCTTTTTAAGCATTTTTCAAATTGTATCTATGTATTTCAAAATATAAAAATCATTTCAAGTCTCTACATATATATGTAATTCGAAAATCTAAATAAAATTAGAAATCATTATGCTTTATAATTTTTTAAAGTATATTAAGGGTATAAGGGGACACTTGACCCATCAACTAAGTATGAAATATTTAAATGGTAGCCACCTACAAGCAACATCAAAATAAAAAATGTGGAAGTATTAAAATACAAGTAACAAATAAAACTAGCAATTCAAATTGTGCTCCGTCCATTCAGAGCTGAGAACCTTTATACAGAAAAAATGTGGATATTCACTTCAAAGAAACTGTAGAAAATTATACTCCAATTCTTTTTAATACATCTTGGTTTTAAATGCCTACTGCGACCCAATTCGTATAAGACCCTGACATACTGTGTGAGATAATATGGTTATCTGATTAATTTGCCTATATTTCAGATTTTACAAATACAAATGTAAATTCAGACCTTATTTTTACCTAATTTAGAAAGATTTTAAATCATGTCTTCATACTTTTTGCTAAGTATTCAACAAATGCTTTAAAATATACATACACACAAGCGTATATTAGGTAATATAACTATAATATGTAATATTTAGCAGATATATTTGCCATAACTTTTAATTGTTTCAAATACACATGCATTTACAAGCAGAGTTTTTTTTTAACTAAATAAGTCAAATAAATAATATATCATATCTGTTTATTAACGATGCGTTTGGCTCAGTTTGTAGTTTGTAGTGACCATACTCGCTGTGCCAGCGGTCGCGGGTTCTAAGTTCTCCTGGAGGCATTCATTTGTGTGATAAGTACGAATGTTGTGTACTCCAGTCATAGGTGTTTATATTTATAATATGTATGTATGTATTTAAAGTTATACTCGTATGTTTATGTGTAGTATATCACAAGCCTCACAGCTTACCATGGAACTAGATCGTGCTGTGTGTTAATGTCCCAACATATACAATGTTTTTATATTTTCAAAAAGTAGAGTTCAAGACGAAAAGAATAAGCTCTATCTAAAAATTGAACGAAAAACAATTTTAAATGTAAACGCCCACTTGAAATTGGGGGTGATTTTTCAGCCTATCGAGACTATAAAACATACTTTTCTCGGAAATGGCAAAACATTTCAATTTAATTTTTTTTTAATTTATTATATGTATTTCGAAGATTACATTCCCTTAGTTTCATGGAAATCAAAAGATTATTCTAGAAATTAAAAGTAATAAACCAAGAAACAAGTAAAAACCGAGTTTTTTTGCAAATATCTCGAAAGCTGTAAGGTTATTGTAAAAAGTGTTATTAATAAAAGTTATAGATTTTTACTAGACCTACAACTTTTGTAGAAAACATTTTTCGATAGAACGTCACAGTAAGCCGGATACTGAAAAAAAACTATTTTTCGACGCTTTGCGTTCCCCCATTTATCGGGGTAGCTGGGCATGTGGAGCATTTTACGAATTTCTATTTCTTACATACCTGCTAGCATTTTAAAATCATAAAACTTCAGGTTTTCAATATTTTTTTTCTTTTAAAAATAAACGGATTCCGATTAGTCTAAACCACGCACAATCCTTTTTTTCCATTTTTCCATTTTTAACAACACGCTTAAGACTGACTACAAACAAAAGACTTAATTTAAAAAAAAAACCAAAAGATATTCCAGTTATTTCCTTTTTTTAAATCTAATCAATATTCCGGCTTTACCAGCAAGTATTAACTTTTTTCGGTTGCAAAGAGTTTGTACTTCATTCTCACTTTATAATGAACGCTCTACGTGCATATATACAAGAATTCCTCATTTAATATTATAACATATAAGGTATAAGAAATCTATTTAGTGAGTGTCTAATTAATTTTCATACATAAAATTGTACTATATGAAATGAACTATCATCGTGTATGACGCAATATAAGCTTTCCACATCGGTACCATTTGGAGAAAGTGACCGCTGGTACGCCATTCGCAATACTAATTTACACGCGTTTTACACTGTTATTACTGGAATTGTTTTGACTACAACACTAAATTTTTTTACTTATAATAGAACATAATACCTAATATATACGATTTTTATATCTTAATTAAATCTTTATCACATTTTTTGTTAATTCAAACTTTTGGCGTTAAAGTGGTAAATCAACGGAAGAAATATATTCTATTATGGTATAATTTGTGTGAATTATTTTATCAAAAATAATGCGAATGCTTTAAATTAAAACTAACATTACGATAATAAAGCTCATTCAATTGTTAACTTTGTAGAGTTGAAGTGTTACAAACTCAGTTAAATGTAACCACATGACACAATAATAGGATGGAATCAAAGAAACTTATATCATATGAAGTATTATGAATATTATTTAATTAAATATTAAAACATATTTTTATGTTTTTTGTACACTGTTGGTCATGTTGTCAACTTACCATTCTCGTAACTGTTGTAATTCTTCCTCATAGCCTTCAGGAAGTGGCTTTAAGCCATTTAGGAATGGATGTGAATATTTAGTAGCTGACATGGCCGTGTCTCTGTCCACTTTCTGGAATAAAATATGTTCATATAAAAAAATGCATCAAATATCCTTTTTTATGTCGTACAGAAATAGTAATTTATATATTATAAGAAAGTTTGAATACAATCTTTCAAACAAAATAAATCTTGTTGCAATTTTGTAACCCATTGGCCAACCCTGTAGGATTCATGAGCTCTACTTCCACAAACCCTGCTCTAGAATCACAGAGTTCGATGTCGTATCAAAATGTCAAGTTTGTCTCAAAATATAAATAATTTCATATAAAAATAGTCAGATTAATATTAAATTAACATGTAACACGTAATACGATACGAAAATAATATTAAATTTTTTCTCAGTCGACTAATTTAAAACTAATTACGATTTCTTATGAAATAACCGCTTAATTTTGCGCTCACTAGTTTTTAATTATTTTACAGATGTTTTTTTTAACATTTGATAATTATTTTTCACATTCCCATATCAGTTCTCTATAAAAATCTGTGATGTAAAGATAGAGAAAAAATACGATTTTATTATATGAACTAGCGGCTCACCCTCGCTTCGCTCGGGTTCACCTCTGGACAAACAAAAACGAATCTATCGGGAACCGTACATTTTTCCAGGATAAAAAGTAACTTATTTGTTGTTCTGTTGTATGAACTATATTATTAAAATCCAATTAATAGTTTTTGTGTACTAAGCTGTATAAGTTACTATAGTTTTTTAACTATCCCACAGGAACTCTTCCTTTCCTTCTACTTTTCCGGGACGAAAAGTATCTAAACCTGTACCTGGAATATAATGTACCACCATGAAAATTTTTATTTAAATCGGTCCAAAGGTTTCGGAGATTTGTTATTGTCATGTATGAACATTATTGTAAAGTTTTATCAAAATCCGATCAGTAGTTTTTGTGTACTAAGCCGCATAAGTTATCATAGTTTTTTAACTATCCCACGGGAACTATGCGATTTTCTGGGATAAAAAGTATCTAAGATGTTGCCTGGAGATATAAGGTACCACCATGCAAAATTTCATTTAAATCGGTCTAATAGATTCGGAGATTAGCCCGTACAAACAGACAAACAGACAGAGAAACAAAGAATTTGAAAAAATCTGGATTTGTTCTATTTCTCTTCTTACATTCCCCTGACTTGGTTTTAGCATTTTCTTTCTATGTACAGACATTCGACCTCTATAGTTTTATTATATGTATAGATAAGGGTCAACAATGTCTGTTGTTGATCCTTAGGCACTTTTATTCAAGAAACCCGTATAAGACTATAAGATTGTCAATAAAGTTTGATATTTAAAAAACCTGTGTTTTCGGAACAAGGTTAAAAAAGTAATTTTACTGCAAAAAGATAAATTCAGATAGCTTAATATATAATTACACCTACCTTAAAAGCAATTGCCAGCGCCTTCATTTATTTTTCTAAAGGTAAATTCACATGAAGATACCAATGTTGGTCGTTTATAAAAGAAAATAATTTTTGCATGCTTCTTAATTCTTTTTATATTCCGCATCGATGATATCATGAAGTATTTAAGACGTATGTATGTATCCTTTTTAAAATTCATTTATAATTTAACTTTCGCTCCTGGTTTTGCCCGCGTATATTAAAGATAAATCTGATTTTTTGTACGTAGATAAAAAAATCTTACGGTATCTCTCATAGGGACTATATTGGGATTTGTTTGTAAATTTTAAATGTGAACGTGTAATGTGTATGTATGTTTTTCATTCCTTCGCGCTGAAACAGCTGCACGGATTTGGATATAATTTAGTATACGGATAGAACTATGTCCTGAAATTACAGGCTACTGTTAGATACCTAGAGACGCATCTAAATGAAGTGAAGTCGATAATAAATAACATTACACTTCTTCTCCCAGCCCATTTCCCAATCACTTGAGGTCGACGCAATACATCCTCCGTGCTGCTGATAGGATTTGGCAATAGTTTTACGACCGGCCGCCTGCCTGACGTCAACCCTACTTGGGAATAATAAATACCATTACACTAATACTTAATATTATACAGAAGCAGAGTTTGTTTGTTTCTGTGTTTGTCTGTTTGTTTGTTTAAACGCGCTAATCTCAGAAACTACTAAGTAATCCGATTTGAAAAATTCTTTTTGCATTGATAACCCTTTTATTGACTCAATTGAGGAAGACTATAGGCTATATATCATCATGCTACTAATAAAGGGACTGGACCAGTAATCATAAATGCCAACATATCGGGTAGACTTCCATACATTAAATTATAAAAAAATGTAGGCTTTCTGGGCCAACTAAATACATATATACTAACACCTGATCAAATAATAATATAAAGAGAGTAATGTGAATAAGACTAGTATGCCACTCGCACAAGAGTTGACTCTTGACTTGTATTTATAAGTAAAGAAGGATAACAAAAGCTGCGTATCTACGTGAATTCATTGCAGACGTCAAAAATAATTAAGCTTCAATCATTAAACGATATTTCGCGCATTAATAAAATTCTAACTAAGCCGAGTCTGTACACTAAATATTTTTTGGAAAATCTTATTGAAATAGACATTATTACCGATTAGATGCCGAATCTATGGTTTTTAGCATTTTTGTCTGTCAGTCTGTCTGTCTGTGACCGCAAGATGAGAAAACGACTGGACAGATTTTCATGAAATTTGGTATGATGATAGCTGGTTATACGTGTCAACATATAGGATACTTTTTACTGCGGGCAAATATCTCATTTCTGAGAAATCTATACTAAACGTTAAAACGTAACTAAGGACGAACCCGAGTGGAACGAGGGTAACACTAGTCTATACGAGTACATATAATAAGATAGTAACAAAGCGAAATCTGTACTTGCTTTTTTTTAAATAATGACTGTTACGTCTTGTGTACAGAATATAGTCCCCAAAACAATAGTTAGTTTTATCTGTTTTTCTGTATGTCTGTTTATCTCTTTGTTTGTATATCTGTTTACTTTTAACGCAAAAAATACCAAACGGATTTTAACAAAATTTTGTGCAGAGCTAACTCAATACTTTTTAAATATAACTATCTTTATCGAAGGTCATTATATAGTTGTTACAGACAGCACCTAGCCACAAAGGTGCTGTATGTAACAACTTTAAACATTTAGGATACCTTTTACTACAGGAAAATCTTTCATTCCTACGGGAAAACACAATGACATGTTAGGTCGAGCAGTCCATAGTTTACATGGCTAACTCTGACTAAACCTTAACCTGTCAGCGACTGCCGAGCCACAGGTGGCTCGGTTAACAATTGATTTCTTAGAAATTAACCGCGAGGTGTTAAAAGAGTTACACCAAAACAATGTACTAGAAAATGCTATGTCTTCAAAGTGTATGCAGAAAAGTCCGCAATAGCATATATCTGTCTCCTAAGTCGCTAGTAAACAATAAAAAAATATATATAATATGATCCTTTGAACAATGGATGACATTGTCTCATCGTATAATGAAGAAAAATAATTCAATTAGTGAATGTAGACGACCTCCTTGAACTTGAATACATTTGAAATCTGGACTCTACTGTTCGTAATTCAGATTGATTTATTTTTTTAACGTTTTAGACGGTATTTTTAACCGACTTCCAAAAAGGAGGAGGTTCTCAATTTGTCGGAATCTTTTTTTATGTATGTTCACCGACTACTCGAAGGCGCCTGAATCGATTTGAATTTTTTTTGTTTCAAAGGGTTCCCAGGTGGTCCCATATAAATTTTATTGAAATCTTTTTCGTTTTTAAAAAATCGACAACAAATATATTTTTTAAATAAATTGTTTAATCGAATATGTTATTAAAAAAATTTCTTCTTATAAATTACCTTCTTCTAATTCTTCTTCTAATTCTTCTTCTTCTTCTTCTTATAATTTTTTTTACGTTGGGAAATGCATTTACGCACGAGGTGTGGGACTCACCGGCAAAGCCAGTACTACCCACTAAAACCCAACAAAGCCTTCCCCCGTCTTAATGGGGCGTCGCAGGATCGCTTACGCATTCAACTACGACGCCCCGACGGCAGGTCTGCCGAAGCAGACCACAGCAACCACGGGGTTGCTCCAAGGTCCACTCTGCTATCAGAGAAGTACCAGGAGCAACCCGCATGGTACACCGCCCTCCAAAGAGGGCCACCTCCCACCACCCACCGAAGTGGGCCACCTCCCTGTGCGTTTCTTGGCTTCGCGCCCGGCTGTATTGCCGGACACTACTGAGCCCCCCCACCACGACAAGGTGAACGCATGTTGAGAGGGGGGGGGGTCTTATAAATTACCTGTTTATTACATCTACACTAAAAATTGACAAATAAAAACTTAAAAAAAATAAATAAAAACCGACTTCCAGGCACTAAAATGTAAAAAAATAACTACTTAAACGGGGTTTTCATTTAGAATAGACACCTATTTTCGAAGTCGGTGCCAGCCGACAATATTTTAAGATATAAATATCTAATAGGTAAATATTATGTATTTTACGTATCGAAATATATTAGAATTGCTTTGCATCCGCATTGCTGGCACCGACTTCGAAAATATTTGATTAGATATCTATTCTAAATGAAAACCTCCGTTTAGTTATATTTACATTTTAGTGCCTGGAAGTCGGTTTTTTTTTTAAGTTTTTATTAATTATTATAACATCTCAGAAATGATAAGCATGCCTACATATGGGGGACAAAAAAACTCGAATTCTGTTAATACTCGTACACCGAAAAACTTGATAGATTTTGACTTAACTGAGCATGATTAGATTTCATTTTATGAAAAATAATTAATATCGTATAATCCTGAAACCCAGAATTCCCCCGAAATTATAGAATGCATTGTATACGAAATGATCAATTTGCTTAACTTGTTACGATTATGCTCTATTTTTTTTTCTCTATCTTTATTTCAACGTAGATAATGTAATGGGGTTTTGTAGTTTTACATCCATACTAATATTATAAAGATGAAAGTTTGTGAGAATGGATAGATACATGTTTCTTACTCTTTCACACCAGAACTGCTGAATGGATCTGGATGAAATTTAGCACAGAGATAGATTATAGTCTGGAATAATATATAGGTTGCTTTTTATCCCGGAAAAATGCACGGTTCCCGTGGGATAGATTTGTTTTTGAAGTGAACATTCTTTAGATTCGTTATGATTTGAAACTCGATGAAACGGAAATGCGGCACGAGAAAGAGATACATATAAATATATAGGGTTAAGCCGGCGAGAGAATGAGATAGAATACATTACACTGAAAGCAGAAAGAAAAATAAGTAACACTTAATAACTTAATATGTATTATTATGTAATATATGTTAAATAAAATGTAAAATAAATTTAAATTTGGTAAAAAATAATACTTATAATAAAAATGAATAAGTATTTATTACTGTGGGATGAATGTGCTTAAATTAAATAAAAGCTATTATGACTAATTGTTGCCACGGTAGCCGTTGTTATTGTCTAACAAATATATAATACTAGCAGAACCCGCAACTTCGCTCGCGCTAAAATTAAAAAAAATCTCTAATAAGGTAGTTTCATACGAACTTTCATCCACTATTTTACTCCCTTGTAGGATAAATTTCGAAAAATTCTGAAAGACGTATTTATTTAATTTTATTGAAAAGCATTAATTAAAAAGTTTGAAGTAATTATGATAATATTTTTTTTATTGTATCGTGATAATCTCCCGCGGTAAATAGTAGCCTATGTCACTCTCCAACCCTCCAACTATCTTTACACAAAAAATCACGCCAATCCGTCAATACGTTTTACGTGAAAGAAGGACAAACAAACAAACAGACTTTCACATTTATAATATTAGTATGGATTGAGTTTCACTTCTACCATGTGTGAATTGCACACACACGCACTTTTTTTGTTTTTCACTAGAGTCGAACCCGAAACGTAGCGAGGGTGAGTCCCTAGTGGTTGTTTAAAAATATTATAAAAAAGAAATATTTGTACTACATATAAAAGAAACCTTTATATTTATTATTAGGTGTTTATATATATATATATATATATATATATATATATATATATAACTGCCTCGGTGGTGTAGTGGCTAGCATGTACGGCTGCACACCCGGAGGTCCTGGATTCGAATCCCGGGTCGGGCCAAGTTTAGTTATTGAGTCTTTCTGTGTAGTAAGCCTCAGTAACAGCCCGGAGTTGGGAAGTTGGCGGTGTTTCACCCCCGTGCCTCGGAGAGCATGTAAAGCCGTCGGTCCTGCGCCTTAACTCTCACTGGTCGTGTCGAGCAGTCGTCCAACCGGAGTATGAGAGTGACAGGAATAGAGAGTGCACTTGTGTCTGCGCGTACACTTCTGCACTATAATATCTCCTGCGGAGTTGGCTAGTCTCAATCAGAATGGCCGCCGTGGCCGAAACCGATCAGGAGAAC